GAGAGAGAGAGAGAGAGAGAGAGAGAGAGAGAGAGAGAGAGAGAGAGAAGAGAGACTGAGGGATAGAGAGAAGTAGCTAGATAGAAAGGGAGAGAAACAATTTAAAAAAAGAAAGTGCATAGTGCACTTCATCGCAGCCAATTTAAACTAGGAGATGACGAAAATATATGTCCCACCATACGACAAAAGCCTACAACAAACGAAAAAATATAAAAAACCAAACGTTGATGTCCACAGGAGGAGTCATCCAACCAATCGGACCAGCACCCACTTCCCTGGCCAGCACTACCAATTGGGAATCGGCACGTCAACGATGGCCCAGTGACGGTTGCATCGACGACGGAAAGACTCTCACTTTCGTGTTGTCCGTATTCGTGGAAGCCACAATGCGCACAACAGAGGCGGCACGAACTCTAATGCGCGCGGATGGCCTTTGCTATCTCTAGCAGAGCGTGGCACATCACTTCGCTCACTTCGTGAGACGCTGCTTAGTGTTTTTACTGCACTTCGATCTCCGCTTCCAACGCCTCGCGCTGCCGTATTTGGATGGAGCACTCACGATTGCTGTTGCTCTCCATCGCCGACGCCATTAGCGCGTCGTGCTTCTCCATGCATTTTGTCATCACTTCGAAAGTTTGCTGCCTCGTGCTCTTCCTCTTGCGGAAACCGCCAGGGCTACCCGTCGTTTGAGAAGAACCTTTCATCGACCTGTCGTCGTCGTCGTCGTGCCCTGCACCAGCGTCCCCATCGCCCACAGATGCAGGATCCACAGAAGAGGCGGACGAGAGACGCACACCACCCGGAGCACCAGTCTCGGCGACGTTCGTCGGGTTTATGGTGTGGTTCCTCGCAGTCGACCCCAGTATCTCGTCGTAAACCGGGAAGGGGTCTATGTATCTGCACAACGCAGATTCCATTCTACGACATAGAGACAACTCCCACCTAGGGGGAATTTAATATTGGATCCATGTTGAAATTGAAGCCCTTGGACGTCCTCTCCTTCCCAAAGAATTGGAAGAAGTCCTGTTTCCAAAACAAGCCTTGGAAATGATGCACCTTCTTGAACTGCTGCATCAAACTGTCTCACTTCTTCCCGCACCGATCTGGGTTTCTGTCCATGCCCACCTTCTTCAACCTCTGCGCCACATCCAACCACTTTCATTCTCACGGCTTCATCCGAGCGTACGCGTGACCCATCCCCTGCAGATACGCACCCTGGTCACGTTTAGCCCGGATGAGGGCTATAATGTCGTCGGCGGACCAGAACTGACGACCTCCTTCCACATCAACGTCACCTTTGGCATGGCTCCCCTTCCCCGCCGCTTTTTTCCCCAACGACCATTGCGGGCACACGCCTTCGTCTTCCTGACCCTCCCTCCCATGCTGCTTTGCTTGAACGGCGAAACATAGTCTGCGTCCTCCTCCCCACCTTCGCCATTGTTGTCGTTCCACTCCTGATCGTCCGCATCCACCACTGGTGCGTCGCCGTCGTTTTCCTAAATCCCCCACACGCAGTCGCTGCACCCCCCGAGTTATGGATTCCTCCCGCACCGACCGCAGCCCCCGTCGGTGTTCTGCCCACATCTCCCTCCCGTCCCGTGCATCACCAAGATCGACGATGCCACAATCTGTCTCCTCGCATTCGCCACAACGGCGGGCTGCATTCGAACCGACGGACAGGGGAGATAGAGACTGCATCCATTGAGGGCGAGCGGAGGCACCCCTCGACACAGACGGCGACCAGAATTGCTGCCTCGGAGGATCCCTGTTGTTCCCCGACGCCTCCAAGACCAGCATTGGAGACTTCGATGATCGCGCAACAATCGTCACTTGCCCGCCGTCGTCGTCGGGATGGGGTGACGATGACCGTTCGCAAGGCGGCTGACGACCTCCCGCTACATAGCCCGAATGACAGATCCACGCTGCCATCGCCTTTGTCACCGTTGAGCCCCTGCTGGAGGAGTTCGGTGTAGGACTGGCCAAAACCATCGTCGAGGCTTCCAGACAGCTCTGTTGTCGCCCACTCCTGGGTGGACCCGCTTCCTAGCGGCACGTTCCGTGTCCGTCTGTCATCTGCCTCCTTGTCGAACGTGTCCGGCAGAGGTTGCAAGTGCGGTAGCAGGTGCGTGTACCCAGACCGCTCTGACGACCTTGAACTCCTCGACGGCTCTGCCCAGCCCGCTGGCCACCACCCTGCTCCCCTGCAGAATTGCAGATCGCCTGAAGCCCCTCCATCCTGACGTCCTTCTTCAAAGACCATCTTCTGCGGGCATGTCGCAGAACGCTGCCGAGGATGCACACGTGGAAGACAACTAAGAGGAGGAGCAAGAGGACGGCCGGCACCAGCAGCGGCAGCCTGCAAAAGACGTCGACCATGAAAGGCACGTGGACGATGGCAGCAGCCAGAGGACAACCGTGGACGTCCACGATACGGCGAGGGACAGTGGTGCAAACGGCCGATCGCAGCTATCGACAAAAGCAGGGTAACGTATTCCGTCACGCAAGACACTGCGCAATCAGGAAAGCGGGGGCCGACTGAAGTATTTGGATTTGCCGACCGTTGGGCGCCTTCCTACTCGGGGCCAAGGGCAGCGACGCAAGGCAGCCTCTTTTCGACATCGTGGAGGCCGGCAGGTTGCCAAAGGGGACCGTTGGCGGACAATTCCATGATGCCGACTGTTGCCGACCGAACCAAGGAACAACAATGGACCAGCCGCGTCGAAAATTGTCGTCGACAGAGCTGCCATCGACGCCCCGATTCTTCCGGATGCTCGACCTCCAAGGGACCTCGGGAGGTCCCTTGGGAAAAGCGTCGAAATGGATGTAGCCCGAGGAATCCCCGAGGAATGCTCGAGGAAATGTTTTCACAGGGGATTTACGCCCCGATTTTTTTTCAATATCTTTCCCGAGGATAAGTGGAATGATGATTTCCTCAGGGGATTTACGCGGGCAACGAGTGTCGAATGAGCCCTTTAGAGATCTAAAACTAAAAAAGCTTATCCTTTTTTTTTTTTTTTTTTTTTTTTTTGCTGTAAACCGGGTCCAACGTCCCTTAGATACATCGTCACAGTACGTCATTGAGAGTGACGCCATTGTGCTGGAAACCGAGTTCAGCGTCCCATACCTGATCTACTTGTCCAAGCCTCACCTGCATTCCGGTCTTGTCCTGCAGAAGAGCCAAGGACTGGGGGGAGACACTGGGGCAGTGCCGAACCCGTGAACGTGAACGGGCCCGGCCTCCTGAACGTGACCGGCCGTTCACCGAGTCCGATTCCCATGAACGGCCGTTCACGGCCCTGGTGGCCACGTGGCAGCCCAGGTGGTCGCCGTCGAGGTGCGATCGGGGTCGCGCGGGGTCCAGCTAGGACCTTGTTCCTTCAAATCAGAAAAGAAAAAAGAAAAAAAAAAAGGATATTTGTGTTTAAAAAAAAATAATAATAAAAATATTTGGGTGTTGATTGATTGATTGATTGATTGATTGATTGATTGATTGATTGATTGATTGATTGTTTGGTGGGGAAGGGGTCCTCCCTCAACTCCCCTGCGCGTGCGCGCGCACACACACACATCTCTCTCTCTCTCTCTCTCTCTCTCTCTCTCTCTCTCTCTCTCTCTCTCTCTCTCGCGCGCGCGCGCGCGCGTGTGCACATGCGCAACGGCTGAGAGTCTCACTCTCTCTCTCGTGCAACGGCTCAGAGTCTCCTGAGCCCTCCTCCACTCAATGTGGCTCGTTGCCACCCGATCTCAAAATGTCACAGCCGTAGTAGGCCTTTTTTTTTTTTTTCAAAAATTAAAAAAAAAAATATTTCGATCGAAAAAAAAATAATAAAAAGTGGGCAGGTGCCCATTTACAGTCCCCACACGTCTATGAAAAAAAAAAGTACCACCACTAGGCGAAAAAAAAAAAAAAACGGAGTTCCCGCTCTGTGTGAACTCCGTGAACTACCCGCGTTCACGTTTTCGGTGAACCGTTGTCAAGAGCATTGGTCCGGCACCGCACCAGGGCAGCGCGGGACCCTCCCAGCCGCGTCACGCAGGAGTTGGTTTAAATCC